AGTGTGTTATAATTCCCTCCTAGTAAATGATCGATAAGTAAATACAGCAAGCTTCAGCATGCAGTTTATACAACAGCTATCAAAATATATTTCATGTAAATTACATGACGATCGATTGAGTCAATTATGTGATTAACTGTGCTTGATACGCTTTCGAACTTCGGCTATGTGTAGCGAAATTTCGCGTACTTACTGGCGAAAGAACGTTATTGATTGCAAATTTTCGTTGAGGTGTTCAAAATCCAACAAAATTTCCTCTATTATTCAAGTGAATTATCACTCAAAACACATCAAATTTTCCCTTGAATTTTCGCAAGATTTTTAAAAAATTCACAAAGACAAAGAACGCAATTCATGCATTTCACATGGATTACTTTTGCACAGTACTGTAATATGTGTAATATTAGTGAGTCGGCAGTGCATGGTTGGTTTTGGTCCTTTTTCAGTTAACATTTGTGTGCTGCATTATGAAACAGCTGTATAAAAATATGCAAAAAGTATAACATTATGTTACATGAGTTTGACATTCATTATAGACAATCGACTTGAGAATGCCAAGACATGGATAGGTGACAAGTGGGACATGGATATTGACAAAATCCTGTTTACTTTATGCTATCTTTATGCTATGTGAAAGGTAAACAATTTGATTTTAGCTTCCTGGTAAATGGGAATGTGTGGTTCCAGAAAATATTGATACCCCACAGAGGGTCACGGAAATTCTGAGGGGTAGGGGGTCAGAGGTAAATTTCCAAAGGGGAGGGAGGCTACTACTTGTATGAAAACTTCCTTTAAAGTGGTACTATGACAAAGTCAAAACATAATTAAAACATAATTAAGTAACCTGTATGAGAAGAAAAATGCTGTTTACTATTTTCAAATATCTCTTTTCGTTCCAGAGATATTCAAGTTTTTGAAATATGCAAATTAGCCAAGTGATGACATCATACACTCAACCGAATTTTGATGAAATATGATAATCAAAGGCTCTGTAGGCCAACTCATTCATATTATTTGAGGGACAAGATTGAGTTTTTATGTGTAATTGCACTTCATGGTTTGTTTCAGTTTTGCCTACTTTTATTGAAATACATGAATGTGTGCAGTGTGATGCATTGCTATGAGCTTCATAAAAGTATGCTGTGTGCATGGATCTTCACAATTGTGGGCTGAAAATGAGTGGGAGTGGTTAATTGGTTGGGTGGAAGAATATGGTAATGCACACAGGGAACTAGCTCTTTGGGGCTTTGGAGTAATGCATTTCACTGAAAGTGAGCAGAAGTGAAACATCCTACCATTTATTTGCTTTCCTTGCAGTTTCACAAATTCTTGGAACCTCTGGGTAGTTTCTTAACAACAGTGGGCAGGGCAGTAGAACAAAGCAAGTGGGCCAGTGCTGCATAAAAGGATTGGGCTATACATTGGTGCTTGCGACAGTGCCCACTTTAAAAATCCTTCATTTTATGTCCAGCCCCTTCCATAACTTTTCTTATGGTTGAACAGCAACGAGAATGACTTGCGATGAACAACAATAACATTCTGAGTGTTGTGAGGATCAGAAAAGCCACATACCTTCTTTGCCTTGAGTGGCATTATTGACAAAGTATATTTACTTCTTTACCTTCATTTATGAAATGTTTTTGTTCTCTTTGATTGCAAGAACAACTTGTGGTGGGGGTGCGACCTGTTTGTTTAAACGCTTATCCATTTTAGACCAAAATATGTGATTTTCTCTACCCAATTTCAGACCAGAGTCTTAAAAATGGCAAAAATCTATACCCTATTTCAGACAAGTAGGCAAAAATACCCAATTTCAGGCCAAAATGTCCAAAATCCATACCCGTTTTCAGACCAAAACAGCTCAAAAACCGTACTGCTTAGGGCAGCACACCTATATAGCTTATATAGGGGATTACCCCCCGGGAAGTGGCATTATTATTATTAAATCATAGCAACAGCAACCATGAGCATGACATAGTATATTTAGTTTTTTATCTTTACTAACTTAATTTCTTTGTTGTCTTTGATCGTAATAACAGCTTGCAATCAACAACAACAATGATAACTAGCGATCAACAACAATAATATTCTCATGAATAGAGAAGTCTTGTGAGGGTCAAAAATCCTGCATACTTCTTTGCCTTAAGTGGCATTACTAAATTATTATAACAGGAACAGTGAGAATGACAGAGTATATTTAGTTCTATATCTTCATTTATATAGTTTTTGCCCTCTTTGATTGCTGGAACAACTTAAGATCAACAACAACAAGTTGTGACCAACAACAACGTTTTGAGGAATAAAGAAGTGTTGTGAGGATCAGAAAACCCACATACCTCTTTGCCTCAAGTGGCATTATTAAATTATAGCAAAAGCAACAGTGAGGATGACAAATTATATTTAGTTCTTTGCTATCATTGTCTTAATTTCTTTGTTGCCTTTGATCTCAAGAATAACTTGTGATGAAGAACAAGAACAATAACTTGCTATCAACAACAATAATATTCTCAGGAATAGAGAAGTGTTGTGAGGATCAGAAAACCCTCATACTTCTTTGCCTTAAGGTCATTCCCCAGTAATGGATTGCGCATCCCTACCGCGCATAATTTCACGCGTGATTAGCGCGCACGCATGAAAAGATGGTGGCTTTTTCTTTAAGGCTGGACCTCGCCAGGGAGGTTAAAGTCGTCATTTTTCTTGAAAACAAGTACGCTGACCTATCGTTTTTTTCTGTTGTTTTGAAATGAGTAATAAATTTCTCCATGCAAAATAAATATGGACCAATTCTCAGTGTAGAACAAGAAACAATCGTCGAAACGTGAATTTAGTAAGCAATTGTGACTATAATCATGGTGCTATTATAAGGATTTATTGGGTATAAACAAGGTACTGCTGCTCCTAAACGAATATGGAGACCCCTCACTTTTATTTCAAAATTTAAGTTCCTATAATATAAACAATCAATAGCCAAAGTTTGACAAAAATCTCAGTGCAGGTTCTATTTGAGTGGAATGACCATAACTGGCATCATTAAATTATAGCAAACGCAACAGTGATGATGACAAATTATATTTAGTTCTTTACCTTCCTTGTCTTAATTTCTTTGTCCTCTTTGATCGCAAGAATAACTTGTGATCAACAACAACAACAACAACAACAACAACAACAACTTGCTATCAACAACAAAAACATTCCGAGGAATAGAAAAGTCTTGTGAGGATCAGAAAAGCAGCAAACAACAGCGACAGTGAGGATGACAAAGTATATTTACTTGTTTATCTTCATTGACTTAATTTTTTTGTCCTCCATGAAAATCTCAAATGAGATTTGTTTTACTAAGAGGAGAGTTTGGACTATAAATTTCCTGGACATGTTATTTGATTTTGTTTCGAGATTGTATCCCTCAACTTCTGTAAGTGACTGAAACATGCCATCCAGGGTTTCTCGGTTGCAGTAAAACCTACCGAAGTTTTCCTGGAGGCTTTCTTTAAGTGTGCTTATTTTGCTGGAGGAACACTGTACAAGGTCATCAGGGGAGTCTTCATCATTGTCGTTGCGATGTTTGCAGTTTACACAGACATGTTGTTTGTTGATATCGATGGCCAGGATACGTCCTGTGATTTCATAAACTTCCTTTGCCTTGGGCTTCAGTTGAGCAGTTGCTGCATCACTGTCGGGGGAAAGTTTAATAGCTTCAGAAACAGCAATGCTTGAGTCTTGCGAACCATTAAGGTATTTTCCATTGAAGTAGCCAACTTTCAAATTAGTGAACTGGTACAATTTGTCAATCTCAACTTTATCTATTGCTTCTCCTCACAATGTAAGATGCATTGTGCTGTGGAATCTGCAATTATGGTCTCACTCTTGTTGAATGTTTTGTTCAGCTTATAGGAAAACACAGGTTTGACGTCTGACTTTGAGATAAGTTTGGCTTTGACGGAGACTATATCGCCAACTTGAGCTGTGGGATTTTTACGCAGCGACTGTCAAGTCTGATTGAATTGGAAGGTCTATAAAGGTTTTAGTATGACTGTAGGCCGCTATGATTGATGTGTGCGCTGTATGCTTTAGAGCTCAGGTATTTAAAGCACACTAAAGTAATTGTTGCGAAGGTGAATTAATCAACATGACACAAATGTGGGACAAACATATATATGAACTCAGTTAAATGACCTTGCTCTCCATGAGTTCTCATAGCTCAGTGGATGGAGCGCCCACCCGGTGTTCAGGAGGTCATGCAGGGTCCGAAATGAACTTTTTTAGGCAGGCGCAACTGGCCATATGGAAAAGTGTGGTCACCAAAGTGTCAATAAAATTTTTCCTTTGCAGCGAAAAAAAGGGGCCAAAATTTCTGCTCGCCAGATGGAAAATTCTGGTCACCAATTTTTCTTTTAAGAATCAGAACGAAGAGAACGTGTTTGGGGCCGAAATGATGGCGATTTTTCCGCTAATGATAAGATTAAATACAAACACGCTGATTATTTATACATCTACCACTGAAAAACCACGACGAACGAATTGAATGTCAGCCATATACGCAGTTTCATACGACTGTCAAATGTTTTAAGTCAACTTTATACCTTCTCTTGTCTCTACCTTTTGGAGAAGAAATGTACCCAACTGAAAACTGCCGTTTGGTTCTTTGCTCTATGTGCAAAACGATCTTTCCTTTCGTGTTCTGTCAAGACGATCGATGGATCGCCATGTTGAATATCGAAATCTTCCACTAATTTCTTCGCAGATGTTCCGTCTCCACTTTGTAATAAATTATGGAAAGAGTTCAGGACATCTTTGGACACCACATCGTCTGAATAAATATTCATGGCGAAAGAACGCACGTGGCCTTCTGTGCCCGCAACACGTATGTTATGGGAAACTGCTGAAAAAACATGCGGCGAAGCTTCGCACTGATCGTAGCTGTGAAATTTTGTGGTAGATTTATAATAACAGGAAAATCGGTTTTACACTTCAAAAGCAGCGGAAAGGTAAAAAGTAAGTGACCAATTGGCAGGCAGCTTTGAATTTTATTTTAATCAATTTGGGTGAAAATCAAAGTTTGTGTAATTATCGTGGTTTGAAATAGTTAATCGCCCGCTGGTGACCAGTTGTGAAATTCTGGTTGCCAGTGCAAAATTCCTAGTCGCATTGGCGACCAGGAAAGCGCAATTTCGGACCCTGTCATGGATTCGATTTCTGTTGGGGACTCAGAATTTTTCTTTGTCCCACGCTTGTGACATGTTGATTGATTCACCTTCACATTTCATTACCAAGCTAAAAATTCACTATCTTTATTAACTTATCAAAGCAAATTGTTATTCATCCAAATGGACGGCAAAACAGCTGGAAGCAGAACTCCTTGAAAAAATGGCTGCCATGAGAGAACATGGATCCAGCATGCATTGTGAGCCAGATGGAATTTGATTTCCACTTAACGCCAATTTGATTTCAAGTTGATTTCCGTCTGCGCAATTAAACGTCCACACAATTAATTGTCCACAATCCAGCCCTCCACAACAACTCATTCACTGCACTGCGCACATATGAATGAGTTAAAAAAGGTATCTCATCTAATTTATATCAGAAATGTTTGATTCTTTGCAGTAAGATTCTTCCAAATGTGCTCCACATTACGAGCTTAACAGTATGTTTCCATGGCAATGTACTGGGTTCCAGACCTCCCCAATATTAAAGGCATTTCTGGTCACCTTTGCCGTTCCATGTTGATATTTGCAAATGGCACCTCATATGCATGATCCAGCAAGCATATAAATCTGTCAGCTCGAGTTTGTGGCCTCGCTTAACTTTTTTTTAGCTGAAAATCTCTAACATATTGAAATCAAGTGGCTGGGCACTGGAGAAGAGTGAGTTGCCATGGGAACAGAACTTTTTTGTAATAATAATAATGAAGTTTTTTGGGCGCATTTAAAAAACTCAATGCGCTTACATTACTATAAAAAATAAATTAGTTAAATCCTATAGAATATTTCTAATAACAGTAAATAAATAAAATAAATGAAATAATAAATGAAATAATTTATAGCCATAGGTGTGTTTCCTGTAGAACTGTTAGTCTACCAAGTTTCAATGGTCTGCACTGCAAATTAGCCAGGATAGGTCTATTTATTTACTTGATATAGCATTGGGTTTAGTGTATGTCGTCATGAGTCATCTCATTTATCTCATTTATCCCCCAAACTAATGCAGATATTTGAAATGGTGAACAGTGTTTTTATTCTTTCATGGATTCTATGTAAAAATTTGATCATGGTATCACTTAAATGAAGAATCAAAGGCTTCCTGAGCCAGCTCATGGATGAATAGTTGACTTTTGCCTCTGTGGCAAAACAAGTCTTTGTGCAAAACAATTCATATGAAAATGCATGTCACCTGTCTATACTGAAAATGCATGTACATTCATTCTCTTAAAAATCAAGTCATTTTCATGTGAAATGTTTTGCACGAGCATTCGTTATAAAAAAGAGGCAACACCAACTCTGAAGTGCAAGTAAAGTCTGCATGTGAGCCAAGTGGATAATCAGGTTGGCACCTATCCTGGTTTCTGAAGCATGAAATGACAAGGAGTATTTCTACTACCCCCCCCCCGGGTGGGATGCTAGTCCATCGCAGGGTTACCCTGCAATATTAAATTTGCCAGTACTTATTTATACACCTGAGTGGAAAGAGGCACTGTGGGAGTTAAGTGTCTTGCTCAAGAACACAATACAATGTTCCCAACCAGGGCTTGAGGCCAGACTGCTCGAAATAGAAAAGAAGTACAAAAATCAAATAACAGGTTGTTTACACAGACAGCTTATACATTTTAAAATGGATAAAAATTAATTTTGATTGGAATTGGAACATTGTTGTTATATTAACTTGTACATGATGTAGTGTCAAAGAATAACAACAGTCTGTCAAAATGAAATCATTAAATGAGAGTTCACCATATTTACCAGTCAGTCCAAAATTGACAATATAATTATATATATGTCAGCAGTGCATTTTGGGTCAAGGTAAATTGGTTATGGTCCTTGTTCAGTTAACATTATGAAACAGCTGTATGACAATGACTACCATTATGCAAATATTACAATACATGATTTTGAAATTTACTTTAGACAATCAACTTGAGAATGCCAAGACTGCTGAAAGTATTTTGCCCAATTTCACTTAAGTGAGACATGGATATTGGCAAAATCTTGTTTACTTTAAGCTAAGTCAAACATAAAAAAATTCGATTGTAGCTTGCAAGTAAACAGGAAATCTATAGAAAAAAGTATTTCCTTCAATATTATGAGAATGATTTCAGACAGTTTTGATTCAATCATGATCCTGAAGTGAAGGGAATGTTTTTACTTACAATTTATAAGGTTTTTTTTCTATAGAACTTATAATGTCCATGGAGAGGAGGAAGGGAAGTAACAAAGTTTCACACAAGGAGGCTCTTTCCCAAGATCAAAGATCAAAGACCTATCCATTTTACAGTGTTTTTGACAGGAAAGGCTTTCCTTTCATATACATGTAGCTTCTAGCCTGAAACCCCTTTCACAAACCTAATGTGGCCCACTAAATCTTATTTCTGGGATAGATAATCAATTAATGTTTGAAATCCCTGTCCTATTAAGTCTTATGATACCTCCAGCAGGGAAAAAATGCACCTTTGGTCAACTGTAGGAAGAAGTCCCCCAGCTTGGTACATTACAATAATAAGGATACTACATATTGTAGTGCATGCAAGTAAAATAACAATAACTTTTTTCTTGGAAACAAAAATCATGGTATTTTATTCCTATATATCTTGGTAATTGTTTGTGTTAATCTCACTAGCAATGCAGCAATATTCAAAAGGATTGCAGATATGTCTCTGCTAATAGAGTTTTGCAATGATTACAGAACAAACTTATGTTGACAAGTATCAAGCATTCTCTTCTCCATAATTCAAGTTTTGATGTCAATTTGCTTAAATCTCTCATTTCTAGGAGCAAAAAAAACTCTACATCACCAGCCACCATGCATCCGGCTTATTGAATCAACTGGACAGCATATCTTTCTCACAAAAATATTGATGTACACAGTCTCTTGGACTTAATTTGTTCATCCATCACTAAAATATTGCAGTGTATATTTACTCAATCGTAAATGTAGGTTGCCTTGCAATATCATCCGTAAAGAAATTTTCACTCTGATTGAACAGCATGGAATACAAAAGAAATGTAGTGTGAACGACAACAAAACTAAAAGATAACAATTCGAATTTTTTTCTTCTAAGTATTTAAAAACAAGCTTACAAATCTCGAGCTTGCAATACTAAAACAGGCAGAATTTTTAATGTGTGCGTACAAAATAAAACAATAAAGAAACAATGAAACCAAAACCTAACAAGAATTTAAGCTTATCTTGGACTCCACAATGAGAGAAAGCGAGTGGAAACCATCAAATTCTCTTACCAAGAAAAAAAGCTACAAGTTTAACTTCCCCCATATGCTAATCTGACACGTGTCTTGAATCAATTCTTTGACCTCGCCAACCGTGTTGTTGGGAACAATACATGACCAGGCTGTCATTAATACCTCTAACAGCTTTCATCTACGTGTGAGCAAAAGCCAATAGGCAAAAAACAACATATTTACGAAAGAAAATCACAGAAACCAAAATGGCCATCTTCAATCTTTGAGGCATTCAACAAACTGGTACCCAGGCTCTCCATTTATCAGGCAAAAATGTAGGCCTTTCTAGTCCCACCTTGTCTAACCACTCTCGGACAAAAATAATATTTAGCGGGGGAGGTAGGAGAAAATTGTTTAATCCAGGTTTAATGAATAAATTAACCAGAATCAGCTGAGTTAGTGAGTGCCATCCAGCTGCCTTCTAAGCTTATGGATGTTACATCATCCATGAGCAAAAATTCAGCTGCTACGCCATTTGGGAGTAAAGCGCTCCTAGGTCAGTTGTTTATTAGTTTAAACACTGGTTCAAACATTTTGCCATGACATGAAGGAACGCGTCGCATCTGCAGTCTACAGTGAAAAAGTACGTCTTTGTCTACAATGTAACTATAAACAGCTGCGGCTAAATTTTATTACAATTAATGAGTTAAGTCTTTTTTTTGTGGATATGGAATTTTCGAGGGGTATGGGGGCCCAAGTAGAAAAATCATGGAAATTCCAGGGGCTGGGGAGAGTACCGTAAAGCCCTCCTGGAAAGGAAAATCCTGGGGGTTAGGGGGTCAAACTGGAAAAAACCCTCCGTGGAAGGGGTATGGAAATTTTCTGGAACCCTACAATAGAAAGAAAAGTATTTCCTTCATTAATTATTATAAGAATCATTTCAGACAGCTTTGAGGATCCCTCCCACCAAGGGCTACTTAGAAAGGTTTGGCTGAAAAATTGCCATTAAGAATTACCCCTGTTACATCTTGTACCAAAAAAGTTTAAACTTGTCTAAATCTTGAACCCGAAGTGAAGGGGATCTTTTTATTTATAGTATAAGTTTTTTACCTTATAACAATGTCCATGGAGAGGGAGAACGGATGAAACAAAGTTTTATACAAGGAGGCCCTGCCCTAAGGACAAAACCCTTTCCATTTTACAGACAACTGTTTATGACTGGAAAGGTTTCCCTTTCATATAGCTTACAGCTTGAAACCCTTTTCACATACCTAACGTGGCCCCACTACATCTCATTCCTTGGATAAATCAATGTTATAAATTAATCCCTACCCTGTTAAGTTTTATAATACCTCCAGCCTGAAAAAATGTGCACCTTTTAGTTTTAACAACTATAGATAGTAGCCCCCCAGCTTGATGCAATACCATAATAAGGGTACTACATATTGTTGTGCATGCAAATAAAATAACAATAATTTTCTTTCTTGGAAACACAAATCATGGTATTTTGTTCCAATATATCTTTGTAATTGTTTGTGCTAATCTCACTAGCAATGCAGTTAAATATTCAAAAGGATTCCAGATGCATCTCTTTTAATAGATTTTTGCACTGATTACATAACATACTTATGTTGACAAGTATCAAGCATTCTCTTCTTCATAATTATTTCGAGTTTTGATTCTAATTTGCTTAAATCTCTCATTTCTAGAAGCAAAAACAAACTCTACATCACCAGCCACCATGTGTGTTTGACATGGCTTATGTTTGACATGATTGGACAGTGTATCTTCCACATATGCTAAATGCAATCTCACTTTCTGGCTTTGTCTCCCCGGGTGACTTGTATCAATTCTCTGACCTCACTCACCTTGCTGTTGTAACGGATAAATAACCACAGTCACAAATACCTCTCCTAGCTTTCATCTACGGTCACTGCACTTACGTTTTGCTTTTCATCGACATCAACTTGTACAACGAACTTGCTTTTGTCTGCATTCGGAAACTTTTTTGTGAATACTGTCCATGTGCTCTTCTGGGCCGTGGTTGCTTTATTTCTCACCCCTGGGCCCGGTTGTTCAAAACCTTGATTAGCGCTAATCAGGGATTAAATTGCTTAACTGACGATTAAAATTTAATCTGCAATTAGATTGCGTTGCTCAAAGCCCAATTAGTGCTAATCAAACTCTAATTGGCAGGTTAAATTTAATAAACCTCCAGAGGAGGATTAACTCCCTAATCTGCCGATTCAACTCGAAGAAAAAATGTTTGGCTTGTTGTTTCATCTCCCTTGCGTTGGACAAATGTTATTGATATAACCATAACATACTTGCTTATAGCGGACAAGGGCTTTGGACTTGTTAGAGAATCGGAAGAGCGTCCATTGAATACATCACAAACCTTATAGAGGCGGATTTACAGAGAAAAACAAATTGTGGCCACGCTCTTGAACCAACACTGGTACACACGTAGGGTCAAGGAAGCTATTCACATAAGACTTCACCCTAATAACATCAACAGGGATAGTGGAATTGAAATTCCTGAAGCATGGATANAGTCGACCTTATCGCCTGAAGAAGACTAGCAGTAAGCAGTCGAAACGTCGCAATCTACATCTCAAGTGACTACATCATGAGACAAACAATAATACACCTTATTATTGCATCTACCATGATGAATAACAACAACCTTTTCCGCGATATAAATTGTCTGTTCAGAAACCACTTTACCGCAGTTTAGAAATTCTTTTTTCTTCTGTTTCTTTTTTTTCTGTTTCTAACTTTTTACAATGGTATTTTTATGGGTGTGAAGAATGTGGCATTGCGTAAATGTTTTACCACAAGCTTCACAAAAATAATCCTTTGAAGACCAAATGCTTGGTGATTTTTTTTGTCACTCCATCAATAGTAATAAATCTTCCTTCTTTTTTTGTGCAAAAAGGTCATTTAGCAAGTTCATTCATTTTTGTTTACTTGTATAGTGTGTTTCTTTAAATAAAAATTTTGAATGTCACTCACGTTACAGCAAATAAGAAGTTAATGAATAATGAGCTCACCAGTATTCATTAACTACATCACCTACTACTTTTCCCAATCGATACTAAGGAGAAAATGGAGAAATAAAATCGAGAAAATCCATGCTAATTAAATCAGATATCCAAACACCGTCACGGTAATGATTTCCTTTGTTTAAATTTGATGAATTATTAATGAGTTTGAGAGGAATGGATGAGAAACTGAACAGAATTCCAACTTCAAGCAGAAACAAAACTTAAAACTTACTGATATATGGCTATGATGTGAGTATATCACACATATACCATTCATCATGAATCTCGAGTAGAATACAAAATGCATCTATTCTACATGCAGTATATTACACAGCATGTCAGTCAATGAAAATCAGCTTACAAAACATACCATGATAGTCATATTAAACTTTATGGACAGAAGTATTCTAAGCAAAGATTTAAAATCAGCCTCATTATTTTACCTGAAGTATCTGCTACACAAATGTCCATTGGGCTACTGTCACACAATACTAACATCTGTGTTAAGGAGACTACCGGTATTATTTTACCTTCCAAATATGATTCATTCCCCTCATTACTGATGTCAGGTTCATCTTCATCGTGGACAGGAGATCTAATTTGTTGCTGTTTTGCATTTCTTATCTGTGAAGTTTTCCTGTTTGTTTTACTCTTCTCATTTCCTAAATAAAAAAGCCCAAACAAATAAATTATTTCTAATTACAGTGAAAACTGTATAAATTTAGATTCCATATTAAGCAGTCACACCCCTTCCAAAAATCCAAAACTTTCCACCCCATATTTTAAGTAAAACAAACTGACATTAAAGTGCCTATGTCCTTCTTTTTGTTATATTACAACAGAGATGTTGATTTTTGTTATTATTGTTATTATTATTATTATTATTATCATTATCACTACATCACTATCACTATCATGATCATAATTATTAGTATTATTATTATATAAATACATTTTTTAAAAAGTTTGATTGATCGATTGATTTTTTTTATTAACTACTCCAATTGTAATGGACTTCTTTTCTGAACAGCACAAAAACTACTTAACTATGCAACATAATCAGTTCGGGAAAGGGAACGATAGCCTTCACATTTTGGGGGGTGGGTAGTATATATAGATTAGTGCAATTTATATCACCTGGAGTGAGGGTCACTCAACTGCTGTACAACCAACTGAATCTCCTTTATTGCTTGAATCAAGGTTCTTATAATTATAGATAATGGTAGCTAACGTATATATGTGATACAAAATACAAAGGATAAGTACAGTTTCCTAATTATGACATGCAACTACAATTTTACAGATATGGGCTAATACTTATGCAAATTCTGAGGACCTAGGTGCTAATCTGAACAGAATCCTGCACTTATCCTGTTGCTGGGAGAAACTAGTGTTCATACATGTTTTCAAATGGAAACCACAAACTATATTTTAAATTCCATGCAACACATAGTAGGAATATTTTCAAGGATACTTTAACAACAAAGGCTTATACAAAGATCATATTTCCAGTTGTAATTATGCAATCAAAGCTATTTTAAAATTGGTTTGTCACACTTTGTCATGCTATGCTTAACTTCACAACAGTTTCAGCACAATTTTGCTGCCAAATCACAAAAAAATGTCAATCCACTGTCTGAAACTAAGTTACCACAAAAAGGGTAACAATTGGGTAATCATTCACTAACCACAAAGGGTAATTTGAAGCAAGTAGACTTTTGGGCATTTAATTGACCTCACTAAGGAGAGAGAAGATAGTATCAGATTAGCACTTACCTCTGGATTTTGTTGCTTTCACTTTTGCCCTCTGCCATGGTTTTGATTTTTGTGTTGCACACTTGTCATTAACAGCATATTTCAAAATAGATCCAGTGTCTTGCTCACATTCCTTTTTTCCTACTCCTTTTTTCTTGAGGCCAAATCCTTGATTACTGTTCATCTGATCTCGCTGTTTTTGGCTGCACTCATCCTTTGAACATAAAACATGAAGAAACTTTTGTTGTCATCAGATTATCATTAATCATATATTGTGTAGTTCCAGAAAATATCTATACCCCCACCATGGGGGGAATTTCAGTAAGCTCCTCCCCTCTTCCCTCTAGAATTTCCATGAGTGTTATGTAAACCCCCACAACCTCTGAAAAAAAGTTTTGGCAAGAAAGTGTGTTAAAAGTTAACGTAAACACTCCAAACACTTTGCTACTGAGCTACACTGAGCTAATTGTATGCTATCACTGATCACAAACCAATTACAATCATTGTTAAATCAACAAACATTTGCATACAACGTATTTACAGGAAGAGTTTTTGGCCTGCATATGCCCAACTAGGTATGCTAGGTGCCGTATTTGCAGTGGTGCCTGTAGTTGCACTAACTGCAACAGTAACTGAGCAAACAAAATGTCATACATATCATTGCTGTTATTATGTTATACATGTTACACAAAGTTCCCTTGGAATAGTCAGGATCCAGAAATCATTGCAGTGAACCCCAATAGGCAGAACATTTTCTACACATGTTCAACATGACCACACACTGGTGATGACAAAATCAAAGTACTGCTTCTTCTGTACTTAGCAANAACCCCAATAGGCAGAACATTTTCTACACATGTTCAACATGACCACACACTGGTGATGACAAAATCAAAGTACTGCTTCTTCTGTACTTAGCAAAACTACAAGTGATGAGAGAGAGGATGCCCCAGTCTACAGTGATTAACTCCGATTTACACACTCTTATCGTGGACATTGTATATTGACAATACAATTAGAAAATGTGAACTCAAAACAGTATCCCTAGGTTGATGATTTTCTTAACTTGGCCTGTCTACTTGAAAATGTATTACTACTACAGAAGGGAGAAATTATAGGTTGACCACTTGTTCTTGAAAAGTGAAAATTTCATTGCTTAGCCTCTATTTTGTAAGTGATGAACACATTGTATATTTTCTAATCCACTGTAAACTTTTAAACTTTATCCATAAGACTCTTAGTGTTTACATTTCCTCAGTTACTAATTTTTTAAGTACCCATGAACTGAAAATATCAAGTCATTTATTTAGTAAAACTCAAATTGCTCCAAATTTTTTACATGAGACTTAAAGAAACGGATATATTTTTCTACCCTCAATGTTGGTAAAAAGGTCTCCTCATTATTAGGGGTTGATTGCAAGTCTCTCAGTGATCAGTTGTCAGGTGGTAAACACAAACAGAATATCTTAATGTCTGTTTTCAGTTGCACATATATCAGAGCTGAGAATTGAATGTGTATAGTTTTATGCAGGGACAGAATGTTTTGAAATTGATGCCTTGCTGAGACCTGGTCTTTAAAACCCTAATTTCACCTAAATCATTTAATTATACCTGACTGCAAAAGGTACACTTCCTAACTTTTTGCATCAGTACAAAGCTGAAACATTATCCACTCATCATCATTATCATCAGTTCCACTTCCTCGTTTGGAGATTGGGGCCAGCAATGTAAAATGACTTATTGGCCTTCCCATGGTTCCTTCCATCGATGGCAAAGCAAAAAAATATGCTAACAATTATTCGCCAGGAAACAAAACCATTTACTTACAGTTTTCCTTTAAGTACAATACAGTAATATATTTTAGACATATTTTCTGAAACACCAACCCTGAGCCTGCATTTATAAAAGGTTCCAACTTTTTAAAATTGTGGAAGGCGCTGTAGTACAGTCGTGTTATTTTTGGAAGCAATAGGTCTAAGCTGTGGGAGATTTTTGTTGTGATGTTGATCTCCTTCAAGCTGCCTAATGGAAAAAAACACCAACCACTTTTGACACTTCCGCGGTTCACTCTTCGTCGAGTGCTGACTCGACGAAGGTGATTCTCCAGCCTGTTCGAGCCACAAACTCTTTTCACACAAGACCCTACGATTGACAATTCCTCCGAAGAAAGTGATGCCAGCAACAATGAACGGAATTCTTTAATATTCTTCACCTTTCTGTACATGGTTTACACAGTTTCGTAGGTAATCCATCACCAAACTTTATAATTTCTTACCCAGTTAAAAATTCAAGCAGTTTTAAAATTTCCAGCTCTTTGCTGCTTTCCTTGCTGAAAATATCAACTGGAGTTTCTAAAAAAAACGTTTTTTTGCAACAGCAATGAGTGTTGAGCCGTGAGTTAAACAACATTTCCCAAATCCTCCATTTTAAACACTGCTCAACACCGCTGGTCACAGCTGTTTCATATTTTCGCGCCAGCAATCAGCTCAAACATTCTGACTTCCGTTCAAGATTTCTTTGTTTTCAAACACCCAATCAAAAAACTTCGAATTCACTTGAAAATCCTATGTCCCCAGAGCCCTTTGATTCTCGTGCCACGGCCCTGGTGGCTAAGAGGAGCAAAAAGGGCTATGGGGACGAGAATGTCTTTGGCTTTAAAAAATATACACTTGTATGGGCTATGAATGGTCACAAGGGCTTATCATCACTCCAACTTTGTGAGTTCATGAATTTCTTTTGTTTTTGGGTGCAGGTTATCTGCCAGTGCGGGTAATCTGTTGAAATTTTTTTCTTCTTATTGCGAAAAATGACTGATGCGGTAATCTACCGAGTGGGTAAACAGCCAGAAATTACGGTAACCATGGCAGTCATGAGGATCTCTACAAGGCAGACAAGATCCCATTTCACACCATGGTGAATTTTAACAAAATTCTTGCAGTTTACCCATAAATCCATGAATTAATTCATCTCTTCATTACTTTTCACACATGATGTATTAATTTTTCCCCTCATCACACATGAACTTTTTGCTAACCCTTTGCATTTCCTGTGATAGCCAGGTTCCAGAATAATCATTTCACAGCCCATTAAAACTTGTTTGTTGTTCATGTATAACACTGCTCTTACTACAAAAAATCTTCCCAAAGTCAACTCTTTGTGTTTTTCAATATTTTAAAAAAATTGCAATAATTCCGTACTGACAACAAAGAAAGCTAGACAGAGATTCTACAGCATGAAGTACAATTATATGGTAGAAGTAAATGGTCGTTGGCTCCCTGCATATGGGACGCTACATGTAGAACATGGAAGGCTACCCCCCCCCCCCCCCCCCCCCCCCCC